TCAAAATTATACCTTTTTTTTTGGTCAGGTCAGCAAAAAATTAAATTCAATCCTTTTTACAACCCTGTGAGAGTAGAGTCCTCACTGGTACCACTGCGCTCCAGTTTTTGGCTAGAGAAACTCAAAAGGAATTGTCATAGTCTTCCCTTGAGTGGTTTATTAAAAATGAACAAGCTTTCTTTTACAAAATGCTTAACCAAATAAAAATAAACACTTGGCTTTTTATTAATGTCCGTATGTTACAATGAGAAAATTCTAAAAAGTAAAACAATTTTATTTGAATATTCTTTTTAAAAAAATATTTATTTTTATTGATTTTAGAGAGGAAGGGGAGAGCATCAATGATAAAATCATTGATCCGCTGCCTCCTGGCAAGCCCCACACTGGAAATAGAGCCTGCAATCTGGGCATGTGCCCTGACCCTTCCTGTCCCTTCCTCTCTCTAAAAATGTGCCATGACCTCCTGATTCATAGGTTGATGCTCAACCACTGAGTCCTGCTGGCCGGGCTGAATAAACCCTGCCCCCCTTCCTAATAAGTACTAATCTAGTCTACTTCATGGTATGGCAGAATAGACTAAAATATTTATATTAACATTGGAAAAGAACTAAAAAAGGAATAGGAATTTTCAGAACTCTAATATCTGGGTGGAACAGCCTTATTTATTTAGACTACACCCTCACCCCAACAAGATCACTTTAGTAGTGAACATTTAGGAATTCATCAACTTGCACACTATTTTCAACTCAAGAAAAAGTAATAATGCTTTCTTTATGGAAAGCTGTGTGTTGATGGCTGCTAACTGGTGCTTGAAAATGAGACAATTAAATGTTAGGTACATTTATAAAATCCCAAGTTGTTGGCACAGATGAATCATTTAGCCTAGTGTTATGCTCAGACTGCAGGTTTATAGAATAGAAGCTAGGGGCTGAGAGTTGAAATCAGCCAATGTCTTCACTGCTTTCAGGTTGTCTTCCTGATGAGTACCTCCTCATTACAATAACTAAGAATAAAAATGTCCCTTTTGTCTTTAAACAAAAACAGCCTACATATTTAAAAAGCTGTTACTTTCATCTTATAAAAAGTCCTGTCATTGCCAAATAAACTTAATGAGTACACAGTAATTTACAAACCAAAATTGGGCTTGCCCTGGCTCTTGTGGCTCAGTTGGTTGGGTGTCCTCCTGTGCACTGAAAGGTTGAAAGTATGTATGATTCCCTGTCAGGGTACATGCCTGGGTTTCAGGCTCTATCCCCAGTAGGGGGTGGGCAGAAGGCAGCCAATCCATGTTTTTCACGTTGACGTTTCTCTCTCCCTCCCTTCCTTTCTATAAAAATCAAAAAAATATTAAAAAACAAAACAAAAAAACAACAAACCAAAATTGAACTCAAATCCTGGCCTATGGAGTAAACAGCCCAAGTCAGAATCCCAGAAAAAGGGGAGGGGCAGGATGTACTAATTGTCATAATGACATACTTGCACTGTGTCTATTTGTTATTAATCCGCATCCGAGGATTTCTCCTCACTGAGTTTTAGAGAAAGTGGAAGGGAGGGAGGGGGAAGTGGGAAAGAGAAACAGTGATGTGAGAGAGACACACCAATTGGCTGCCTCTTGCATGCACCCCAACCAAGGGGATCAAACCAGCACTACCCAGGTACATGCCCTTGGCCAGGAATTGAACCTGAGACCCTTCCGTCTGTGGGCTGATGCTACAACCACTGAGAACACCTGCTAGGGCTGCAGTATATCTCTTAAAACCATTTTTACTTTGTGTAATTTTCACTGTCAAAAAACCCCAACACCTTTTTATTAGTTAACAGTACAATTTAACTCAACTGTGGCATTTCAAAATTATCATCCTATTTGTGGCAAATTTTAAATAATAAATCAATTTGTAATTTAAAAACCTGCCCTAGCCCTAGCTGGTTGAGCATTGGCCTGCGGACTGAAGGGTCCTGGGTTCGATTCTAGTGAAGGGCATATGCCCGGTTGCGGCTTGATCCCCACTAAGGGGCGTGTAGGAGGCAGCCGATCCATGATTCTCTCTCATCATTGATGTTTCTGTCTCTCCCTCTCCCTTCCTCTCTGAAATCAACAAGGTTCCTCTCTGGCCTGGGCCCTGGTCAGGGTGCGTGCAGGAGGCAAAACAATCTATGTGTTTCTCTCACATAGATATTTCTATCTTTTCCTCTCTTTAAAAATCAATAGAAAAATATCCTCGGGTGAGGATTAAAAATGGAGTTCCTGTTATTTAGCCAATACTGTTGTGCTAAGCAAGCACTGGATCCTCACAGGTAGTCCTGTGAGGTAAATTTATCTAAATTTTCCAAATTAGCAAATTGAGGATTAGCAATATTAAACTAACTTGCCCCAGGTAACCAGCCAAAGACAGAGCCAGCATTCAAGCACAGCTATGGCTAATTCTGAAACTCCAGCTAGCTCTTAACCAAAACCTCTCATGGTGACTAAAGCATGAACCTTAAATTTAAGTAATTCAGCATCCTACTCCCTGTTCTCACATTAAATTCTAGAAAGTAAATATATGGTATTGGTGATTTCATATTCACCGATGAAATGCCAACATCTGGGCCTCTCAGTTCCTTGAACTTTTCTCCTCCAATGATCCTGTCCCTTCCCTTTCTTTGACCAGATCCCTTTACCGTTGAACCTGGGTTCTCCAACTTAATTCATTCCAGAAGGCTGTTCAAAAAAGGATTTGTTTGAAAACAGAATCATTTTCCCCCATTAGAAATAATGTAAGACCTCCAAATGATTCCGTTTTAACCTTTCTTATATATAGTACATGTCTAATGTACTGCTTGTAATCTATAAACAAACACTTTTCTTAAATTTATCGAACCCCACCCCCTACTAGCCTTAAATGAATCACTTTTAGCACTCAATGTAGGGTTGTCTTACAAGAAGTCAATATGCAGCATCTTCGCTTTTTCCTTCTAAATGCTATCACAGGTTGATTTATCGAATTAACAATTTATCTACTTATTCAATTGTCTGTGATAGTTGTTTCAGAGCACTTTCACACCCTTAGCGACATCAGCACTCTTAATGGCCTCCTTACGTTTTAAAATTGTGCTAATCGTCCATTTTGCCAAAAACAAAAGCAAAAAAAAATCATGAAAATATTCACAACACAATGTCCTGAGAGATGCTTTTTGTCATGCTGATGTATCAGCTTGAAAGGGTTGTCAACCCCAAAGGAGACATTTTTACATTTTTTCTGTCTTGTGAACAACTTGGTTGAGAACCAAATTGTTCCAGATGGTAGATGTTGAAGAGGTTTTACTTTACCTTATTACTATCAACATCAATAACCCAATTTCAAGCATCTCATTCAACAACCCTTTGACCCCACTGTGACCTATAATTAATTGATCCTATTTCTGTCTCCACCCCACCCCAAACCCCACTTACATTTATTTCATGCTCATTCAGTCCCCTGCACAATACTCACTTGCATATACCCTCAACTTTTAACAATGTATTTACTAATTATCTACCTGTAACCATCAGGTTAAAAGTGACTAGGCTCTAGCCAGGTGTGCTCAGTTGGTTAGAGCGTCATCCCGAAATGCCAAGGTTTTGGGTTTGATCCCCTGTCAAGGCACATACCAATCAATGAATGAATAAGTGGAACAACAAATTGATGTTTCCCTCTCTCTCCCTAAAGTCAATATAAATTTTTTTTTAAAAAAAGACTAGGAAAAAACCCATTATCACAATGATTTATTTCATTTTAAATGTATTATCAGATATCTTATAAGTCACACATTTCCCTAACCCCTTCACCCTCCTGGATTATTTCCTACCTTCCATAAACCTTCACTACCTTCTCCCTCACCCTCAACTCTAAATGGTATCCATGCTTCCTATTTTCCTGGGAAAACGAAAACAATTTTCTCCAACTTCTACATCTGCATGCACTCCCTACTTTACTGTTACTGAACTGTACATGATCCTAACTAAAGTCATCAATTTCTCACTCTAGATCATGTCATCAGTTCTCAGCTCTCCTTGTTGGCTGCCTACAATTCCTCTTTTCTTGTTAGCATACCTGCAGCTTTGTTGGCCTCTTATAGCTTTCCAAGCTTTTTATTTTAGAATTAGGGCCTACATATTTTTCACCACCAAAAACCAGTTACTTCTAGCATGAAAAAAATCTGAGAATAGAAAATGTGGGTCTAAAAAATCTCATTCTAACATACCAAAATATACATGGTTAACAGTGGGTAGGATTAAAATTAAATTCCATTTCAGCCTTGCATATATTTACATTTTAAAAATAGTGCTATGAAGACAAAATAACCTTAGTTTTAATCCAAAGCCTTTGTTTTAAGGACAAAGACCACAAGGGGGGAAAAAACTAAGAAAAAAGATTGTTTAGTTTAAGGAACAAAGAATCACAACTTTGAACTTCTTAGTTAGCATCCTCTCTGCATACTAACTGCATCAAATTAGCAAAGTTCTTACATTTTCCTGTCTTTAAGTTGCCAACATAACTTATGAGCCATATGGAGAGGAAATATTAGTTACTACCTAGCAGTCAAATTGCGAAGATCAGTGTCAGGCACAGAGTGAGCTCCCAACACCATAAACCACCTTAAATAGATGAATAAACAATAGAAAAATCCGATGAATAAACAACAGAAAAATACAACTTAAGATACATGGTGGTAAATACTTACACAAGACAGCTGAGGTCCGCCAGATCATCAATAAAATCAAACAACTGGCTGATATCATATGTGATAGAGGGGCTGTTGGGATTCATTCTCTTCAGATGTTCTTCATACATTTTACAAACGCCTAAGAGAATGGGGGAGGGAGGAAACCAAGATTTTACAATTGCTTAAACTTTAAATATGAATAGTGTTATATGATATTACAATACTTATTTTCATAAACTTGGGCTGGGAAAATAAGTTGGCTACATTTGTTTTAACTGTTACCACTAGCTATTTCATAAAAAAAAAAATGTACAGTGCTCGCTTTGGCAGCACATATACTAAAACTGGAACAATACAAAGATTAGCATGGCCCCTGCACAAGGATGACACACAAATTTGTGAAATGTTCCATATTAAAAAAATTTATAAATTCACCAAAATGTTGGTTTTGTGCCTTAATAATAAAATGATAACTACAAGCCATTGGATCTAAACGGACTTTAAAGACTTATCATATGATGGTTCCAACAAGTGAGGACTAAATAATGGGTCTTATCAGGCTTTTCAATAAACATTCCTAAAGTCTCAGAGTAAAGAAAATCACCACTTAGGAATGATAGATGACAAACAGATGCTTTTCTATTTTGCTTTCAAAATCTGATACAATGCAAAAAAGACACTACAGACAACAAAAAACAACCCCTCCTCCAAACAAAACAAAATAGGCAACGAGGAAGAGATTATCATAACAGTATTTAACATCCTTGACTGTGGATTCAGACTTGACTCCATCTCCTGAACTCTGTCAAATGGAGATAACAGTATCTTCATAGAGCTCTTGTGAACAGTATATGAAATAACGCATAAAAAGCACTAGCACATATAATAAGCACATAAGTACTCAAATATAAGTAATAAAAATACAATAAAACAAGCAAAATCACTGACAGCAAGCCTACATTAACAGAAATATCTAAAAGGCACATTATTTTTTATTCAGTGACACACTCTTCTCTTGTTCCTACAAAATGCAAGCATAACCTTTTTGGTCCATTTCCACTTCAAATACTGGCAGTGACCCACAGCTACCATCATAATTAACAGTGAAAGACTAGATCAGGGGTCCTCAAACTTTTTAAACAGGGGGCCAGTTCACTGTCTCTCAGACCGTTGGAGGGCCGGACTATAGTTTAAAAAAAAACTATGAACAAATTCCTATGCACACTGCACATATCTTATTTTGAAGTAAAAAAACAAAACGGGAACAAATACAGTATTTGTATTTGCATGTGGCCCGCGGGCCGTAGTTTGAGGACCCCTGGACTAGATGCTTTCCCACTCAGATTAGGAAGAACATTACAATATCTATCTGTTCTTGCCACTTGTATTCAACATTGTACTGGAGTTGCTGGCCAGAGTTCATAAAAATTTAAACCTTTTGTGCTTTAAAGACACTATCAAGAAAGTGAAAAGGCTTGGGCAGCATGGCTCAGTGGTTGAGCGTTGACCTATGAACCAGGAGGTCATGGTTCAATTCCGGGTCAGGGCACATGCCGGGGTTGTGGGCACGGTCCCCAGTGTGAGGCGTGCATGACGCAACTGATTAATGATTCTCTCTCATCATTGATGTTTCTATCTCTCTCCCTTCCTCTCTAAAATCAATAAAAATAAAAAAAGTGAAGACAAGTCACAAACTGAAAAAGAAAATCTTTGCAGTACTTATATCTGATAAAGAACCTGTTATCCAAAATATGCAAAGGACTCCTAACACTCAATAAGAAAACAACTCAATTAAAAAATTGGCAAAAGGCATGGTACCAGCTACCTAGAATCTGTCTCTAATTATTATAAGTAGCCTTTTTTCATAGGTCTACCCATTGTTGACTCCCAACGAACATTTTAATTAGAATCCAGTTAGCATTAGATAGCAACAAATCCAGAGGCATGCCTAGCAGCAGCTAAAAGAGTGACTATAAAATCTATATAGGAAAACAATGGACTATTTACTAGAAAGGGTACAGGGCATGTACAACTGGTTTCTATGATGTAACTAGAGGCCCAGTGCATGAAATTCGTGTATGGGTAGGGTCCCTAGCGGCTGCTAGCTGGGGCCTTCCTTCATTCCCTGCCGCCCCCTGGTGGTCAGCGCACATCATAGCGAGTGATAGAACTCCCCGTCAGTCATATATATATATATTGATTAAATATAAGGATGAAAATTCGTGACTGTAATCTACAGGCTCTCATCTAATGGTTTACCAAGTAAAGAAACACTAAGGGCTAATAGTTCTCTTCACAGTAGTACAGTGATGGAGAACCTTTTGAGCTCGGCGTGTCAGCATTTTGAAAAACCCTAACTTAACTCTGGTGCTGTGTCACATATAGACATTTTTTGATATTTGCAACCATAGTAAAACAAAAATTTATATTTTTGATATTTATTTTATATATTTAAATGCCATTTAACGAAGAAAAATCAACCAAAAAAATGGGTTCGCGTGTCACCTCTGACACACGTGTCATAGGTTCGCCATCACTGCAGTAGTATAAGCTTATCAAATACACAACAAATTGCACTGATTTGGTTCCACTTGCCTTTATTCTCTGAGGTAATTTTTATTTCTAACAACATCCCTAAATATCTATTTCTGCTGCTCAAATGAAGAATCCAAGAAATCTGGAGGACAAAACAAACCCAATTCCTAAATGAGACATTCTAATAGTGAATGTCAGGGGAAAACGATTTCTACCCCTTGATTAGTGTTTAAACTCACCTTCCATGCACTCATTCACCGATTCATAATCAGCATAAGTTCTGCCTTCTGGTCTCTTGGTAGGCTGTACCAGCAAAATGGTGTGAGACTGCAAGGGAAAAATGTGATTTCAATATAAGGTTCTAATTCATATTTGAGAAATTCAGAGTATGATATAAACTCCTTCATGGCAAATCTATTTTCAATACTTACTGCTCAAAAGTAAGAGTTAAAAATTACTAAGAAATGACCAAATTTACAACTGTAGTCAAAATGATCATTATTGTTTTTAATATATCTTAATTGATTTCAGAGAGGAAGAGAGAGGGAGAGAGAGAGAATCATTGATTGGCTGCCTCCTGCACAACCCCACTGGGGATCAAGCCCACAACCTAGGCATGTGCCCTTGACCAGAATTGAACCCAGGACCCTTCAGTCCGCAGGCTGACGCTCTATCCACTGAGCAAACCAGCCAGGGCCAAAATGATTATTTTTTAAAGTGGTAGTGCTTTCCTGATAACCAGTTTAAAATCATAATACTTTCCAAACCAGTTTTGGTCACTTTCTTCTTATTAGAGCTATTTTCGGAACCTTTTGGTTTTATTAAAAATCCCAATATATTTATCTTACAGTTTTTCCTTTCTTCTGGATAGATTTAGTCCCTGGCTTCCTTATGGTTCTCTCTCTCTTAGGAGAACCACCACTGCAAAATATACATTTTAAAAAGATTATATACACACACACACACACACACACACACACACACACACACACACACTCTAAGTACTGTGGACAAAAAAGGGGCCACATGCTAACCTAACAAGCTCAGTGAAGGCCTGCATGGCAGTCTCCCAAACTCAAAGACCTGAAGTAACCATAAAGGACGGCCTGAAATTAAAACTTTAACTAAAAGCAGTTATGGTGGGTAGTCGAGTCCTGGGCTGGTTATCTTCCCCGACAAAGGTCAATCTTTACCTAAACTGAGCCTATTGCTTTTTGCATCTACAATAACGTATCAATGGAGTGTCAAAGTAATTTCCCTTTTTCTGGACCCCTCAAAGCACAGGCACCGCTCTGCAGAGACTACAAACCCCTCATTGTTGTTAACTGTTGACTGTTAACTATCCCGCACCCACCTCAGTAAAAGAATCCCATCCCAGAGGTCTCCCGCTTTGCTTTCTGCCGCCTCCCTAATCTATCACCAATGGAGTTCATGTCACTCACTTACATCCCCTCTTTTGATTGTAATGTATATAACAAGATAAAAAAACTGCCCTGCTCCGGAGCATAATCCCATTACGTTAAGATTCTGCTTCCCGGCAATTGTCAACAGTTTGGCTCAAGTAAACTCACAAAAATTCTTTATAGGTTTAAATTTTTTTTTTTTACGTTAACATTACATGTAGGCAAATAGAAATACGTATTTATATAAATATATCTGCCACAACAGAACAATAAGATTGTGAAACCTAATCAGAAAAAAAAAAAGTTATGCAGAATTACCTTTAATAAAATCCCTTGTCTCTGATTACCAAGCAGCTATGATTCACTCTAATGAATGTTAATCTGGCTGTGTTACTTTTTTTCAACTCTAACAGACATGAACCCTAGATTCTCAGTAATTCTACGGAGGAAGAAATACTACATTACATACAATTTGCTCATTAGCTTTGAAAGAAACTAAAAAGCAAAGGTGTTTAAGGCTTTCGAAGCAGTAATCATTCATTTTAAATATAAATTCCAATTTTCAATTTTATAAGTAATCATCACTGATATTTATCCAACGAGAATGGGTCAATAGTAACTGCTGCCACTTTCACAGATTTTGACCTAAGCACTGTAACACAATACCAAACAGTGACATAAAAGGCAGAGAAAGAAGGAAACTCGGAGATAAAATGACTCGCCCACGGTCACATAGCTAGTTATGACAAAACAGGAACTGGAAACCCAATTTTCGAATGAGTAGTCCTCCTTGGGAGGCTATGTTGGGTCAAATATTGAAATATCTTAATTCATAAAAGTACAACCTGAAAAAGTGCCTTCTTAACAATAGCGGCATAGCCTGTTAACAGTAACTGCAGCAACCAGAAAAGGAAAGTTGAAGTAGCCCCTTAATCCCTGTGAGCATCTCCTTTTTGGGGATTAAAAAAAAGAAAAAAAAAAAAGCCCGCCCGCCCACCCACTCCTCTACTACTGGGCCAGATTCTAGGGAACCTGGACCCCCCTGAGCCTATCTTTTCAGCCTCCATTTCCAACAGAACGTAAATGCGGGTAAGAGCAGGCTTGAGGGCTGAGAGTAACGCCAGACCAGGCACCAAGGGTCCTGGGAAAGAGAAAGAGTTACATATATGTTTTAAAAGGCAGAGCACAGAATAAAAAAAGCGGGGGGTGGGGGGAGAATCGTTGCGAAAGCACATTACTAAGCAAAGACGACCCTTCCTGGCCCAAACCCTGGCTGGAATCAATTCAAACTGTTAGCTCTGGGAACAGGTTTCCGGACATTCCCTCGCCATTGTTCCCACCGAAGGCTGAGGCGTCAGAAGGAAAAGAGCAGCATCCCTACGTGTGACTTTACCGAGCAGCCGCCCGGAGAAAGCGCATCCTTGGCCCCGCACGCCCCGCCGGAGCCAGCAGGAGGGCGCGCAACCGCAGGGCGGACCCGGGCTCGGGGCCTAGGGCCAGGCCCAGCGTTTCCGCGGCGGGAAGGGAAAGGGAAAGGGAAAGGGTCGACCCACCAGGCGGCGGGCCGGGGAGCGGCACGCTCGCGCTAGACGGGCTGGGTCAAAGATGGACGGGGCTGGAGTTACCCGGAGGCTGGGGGCTCGGGGAGCCGCTCAGACTTTTCTTACCATCGCGCCAAACTCTTTCGCTGCAGCCGCCGCCGACACACCGCCACACACGAGCTTAACCACAACGCCGCCAACAGCCAACCCCCGCGAGAGGAGCCGCCGGAAGTCGTCAGAGGCGCAGCGCGAAAGAGCCAATGGGACCATAGAGTCTCACAACTTCCGGAAACTAGAGCGGATTCCGGCCCTGTTTCAGCCATCTTGGATAAGGGCGACGAGCTACACGGGGAATCTTCTGGAACGTGAAAAATAATTTTTTTTTCCTCAAAACGCTTGTCGTCCTTACTCTCGTTGTGAGACATACGGCTAACGTGATCACAGATGTAAATAGTGACACAAGTCACTACTTAAAAGGCGGAGCACAGAATAAAAAAGGGGGGGCGGAAATAGTTGCTCAAAAATGGCGGCAGTGTAAGAATGCCGGGCCATAGGTCAGCTGTTACCCGGAAGAACCCATGTAAAGGAGGGGGCGATGAGGCAATCCGGAAGTGGATATAATGAAGAGGTGCCACTTGGCGGCCATGGCTGCGGTAGTATCTGTGGCTCCGGGTCAAAGCCCAGCGGAGAGGAGTGATAAGGGGAGCACCGGCTATAGGGCGGAGGGAGCTTTGTATCGGATTCGCTGCTGAACTCCAGTCTCTTCGTTAGAGACGTACAGGACTCCTTTCCTCATTCGAAACTCGAAGGAGAGTTTGCCGAGACTGGTGGGCTGGTTCCAGCTGGGGGGATCACCGGTTCCAGCAGGGTGCCCCAAAGAGCTAGGGGTGCCGGGAGGACGAATAAGTTCGCTTGGGTTTTCCTCCTTTTCCTGCTGCCGCCTGCAACGTTGTCTGTGGAGAGAGTGGGCCCATTGTGCCCTTCTCATTCCGACCATTGAAGGAATCGCTTCTTGGCGTATTTTTTCCCCATTGACTTTTCTCATCTCTGTTAACGCACCGGAATCCAGGGACTGGAGTCAGAAAACTCGGGCTGGGGACCTAAGATTGCTGAAAGTTCTCTCTGATGCTACTATCAGCCCACGGGGGCTGTTTCCAGGTACGCTCACGAGAAAGGCGCTCCGTGAACATCTCCGCCGGCAGGGAGGACGGAAGAACTGGAAAGTCCCTCTCGTTCTCTTGGAATCACGGCGCGCGTGTAAGAACCCGTGGAAGCCACTGAAAATCTGTAGTCCGGTGGTGGTGGGCGCGTACAGGAGGGCAGAATGGATGATTTCATCTCCATCAGCCTGCTGTCTCTGGCTATGCTGGCGGGATGTTACGTGGCTGGAATCATTCCCTTGGCTGTTAATTTCTCGGAGGTAAGCAATTCGCAGTTGTTCGTCGGCTGTCCCGCTGGCCGCTGGGAAGTAGTGGGAGTGGTAAAGGAAAGCCGCTTCCTCAGTTAATCCCAGGGCTAAAGGTCTTATTAAGGAAGACCATCTTTTTAAAAGGTGCATAACATTTAACAATGGGAACAAGCCTTATAGTCAGCATCCGAGTTCTGGACCTGGGTGGGTGGCTCCACTGCAGATCCTGGAGCACTCCCAGCTCCCTGGAACCGCAGCCAGAAATCTGGAGCTCTGTGCATTTTCCTGGAGAGAGGCACTAACTAACATTCTTTTGGTTTCTCAGACGTTTCAAGGAATGAAGGTTCCGGATTGCTATGAAGAAATACAAATGGCGAATGTTGTTTGTTCATAGGAATTAATATCAATATAACTTCTTTTTTTGAGAATATCAAGCATAGTTGTTTTTTTGTTTTTGTTTTTAAGAGAAGTAATGTTTTGGATACCCGTGTTAGGATGGAGAAAGAAAAAATACTTTAAAAAACTTTAATTAGAGCGTCGGCCTGCGGACTGAAAGGTCCCAGGTTCGATTCCCGTCAAGGGCATGTACCTGAGTTGCGGGCACATCCCCAGTAGGAGATGTGCAGGAGGCAGCTGATCGATGTTTCTCTCTCATCGATGTTTCTAACTCTCTATCTCTTTCCCTTCCTCTCTGTAAAAAATCAATAAAATATATTTTAAAAAAAACTTTAATTAGGTTGTTCTTAACTCACATTTCCTTTTAAAGAAGAGCATTGGAATAGATATTTGAAGTTGTTTTCAGATCTGTTTGCTTAGAAGTGAAATTTTTGTTAATATGTTTTTAAATTTTGGTTAATTGTCATTACCTGAACAAAACGTTAACTAACTGGGGAAAGGAAGACTGATGAAAGCGTTGTTCAATGAAAATGGAGATGGGTTCTTCAGGTTGCCATAAAGAGTGCACAAGGTGCACAGAGCTCAAAGATTTAGGGAGAAAAACTGCTACATTGGGGGCAACAGGATTTCATAAGTACGACCTGGAGTTGAGTAAAAGAGGCCATTTTACTGCGGGTCCTGGAAGTGCTTTCCGAGGATAGGGAAAAGGAGAAGGGCCTGAAGTAGAAAGGAAAAGTTACAGCTGAGGTGTGAGGTAGGACTTGAAGATAGCCTGTGGATGGGAAAGAAGGTGGGACTAGGCCTTGTGAGTTTGCGACATAGTTAAAGCCACAGCCAGGTGGAAGGGAGGCTTGAGTTGCTGCTGCTGCTTTTCAGTTTCCTTTTGGTATCTAATGCCAACATTGAGCTGATTTTTTTTTAAGCGTATACATTACCTAACTTTGTTTTAAAAACTCACTGAGATACAGATGAGGACTCAGATTATGTAACTTGGATAAATTAATGAAGTATGCTAGAATCAGAGCTGTTTCTTTTTACTTTTTTATTGTATTGGGTGACATTGGTTAATAAAATTATATAGGTTTCAGGTGTACAATTCTATAATACATCATCTGTATATTGTATTGTATATTGTGTTCATCACCCCAAGTCAAGTTTCCTTCTGGAGCTGTTTTTTAAATCTAGGTTTTTCAGACTCAGAGCAGTTTGTAGCCACTGTCCATTGTGGCCAATGTAGTAGACTGGTAGCCCACATACCAAACTTAGCTGGTAGACTTATTTTGTTAGATTAGCAGTGTTTGATTTTATTATTGTTGTCTTTGTCTATATTCCCTCAAGGCAACAGTTGGTAGAGCTGAGTAGCAGTAGATTGTCGCTGTCCTTCTTGGCTGCAAGGCCTACCGAACTCATTTTGACTACCTGCCTGCCCAGTACTTTGTGAGCCTGCTGTCTTTCCTCTCAAATATAGATATATATTTCAGAGAGGAAGGGAGAGGGAGAGAAAGCTAGAAACATCAATGATGAGAGAGAATCATTGATCAGCTGCCTCCTGCACACCCCACACAGAGGATGGAGCCCGAAACCCAGACATGTGCCCTGACCAGGAATCCTGGTTCATAGGTCGATGCTCAACCACTGAGCCATGTGCCAGCAGGGCTAAACTATATTTTCTTAAAACTACATTAGAATTGAATTGATATTAATAGGGCTGACATTTGTAAGCTTAAGTTGGTTCATATATATTTAAAGATTTTTTAATTGATTTCAGAGAGGAAGGAGAGGGAGAGATAGAAACATCAGTTACCCCCTGCACACCCTCTACTGGGGATGGAGCCTGAAACCCAGGCATGTGCCCTGACCCGGAAATCTAACTGTGACCTCCTGGTTCATAGGTTGATGCTCAACCACTGAGCTACATGGGTCGGGCAATGGTTCATATATTTAAAAACGGATTGAGGTGACATTTATCAAGAATTATAATTCACATAAGAAACTGATAAAATTTATTCCTATAAAATGCTTAGGACTTTTCCAATTTCAGTATTTTCTCACACTATTCTTGGATGATTTTTGCAATATGCAGATATATGCTATTTTGTTTTTCACTGAAAGGAAATGTGTACATGAGTGGTGTAATTAACCAGGCCATTAATAAAGATAATTAGTATGTTATGTCATTCTAAATTGATGGCCTTGTGGTCTTTTCCAACTGTAGGTCTTAAAATGCTATAAATCGGCATTTATAATATCTGTTAATTACATCAAGAACAATGCATTTTGAGCTGTTATAATAAAATGAAAGTTATATATGTTAGAGACATTTTAGAATTTAACTGGTGTTTTCTATCTCCTAGAAATTAAGCATTTTTTTCTCGGTAAATTATACTATTATTATCGACCAAAGTATTGTGAAATTCGTGAGATGATAAATACTAGTATGTAAAAATAAACTTCATTCATGGGGACTGGGAAGCACAATTTCTACCCTTAGAAAATAGCTCCCTAGATTCCTAGCTTTTCTTTTATTTATTTTTTGTTAATCCTTACCCAAGGATATTTTTTCCATTGATTTTTAGACAGCGTGGAAGGGAAGGGGAAAGAGAGAGACAAAGAGAGAGAATCATTGATGTGAGAGAGACACATTGGTTGCTGGGGATTGAGCCTACAACCAAGGTACGTGCCCTTGACCAAAATCAAACCTGCAGGGCCAGACCAAATGATTTCAAGGGCCGTATACAGCCCTGGAGCCAGATGTTCCCCACCCCTGCTTTACTCCTGTTTGGTAAAGGAGTTGGACACACTAGTTTAGTACTAGCTTAGGTTTTTTAGATTCAGTTGTTAATGAGCAGTTTTCTTTGGCTTTAAATGGAAATACTACATGTGTGTGTTGAGAGCCTACAACTTAACATTGCCTAGTATAAACCCAGCTTAGCAGGTGCTCTGATTGATGATGAAGTTCAGATATTAACAATGGCTAAGTGGGATTTTAGATCAGTTATCTGAGGATTGTTATTTACCTGAGCATGTCTTCTTTTTGTCACAGAGCTGGTAAGGGAGAACAAGCTATGTTTGCATCAGACCTCTAGGGCAATATTCCTCAAGCTATCTGGTAAATGACCAGCTTTTGTTTTTAATTTCCATTTCATTGAAGACCCAATATATTTGTAAAAATGAAATACTTAGAATATGAAGGGGGGAAAAACATGTAAAATACAGGCCCAAATGCAGTGCTATTAAATTGAAGAGACATACAATGACTCCTTTAGTAATTATAATGATCATATTGCTATAAAATTTTTGGAGGCTTTCTCTCAGTTTCGTACTTTTCTCATTGCAGACTAGTTTGGATTATAATGACACATTTTTTATGTGTTAAAACAGTATAAATCCATAGGTATGCAGATAACTTCAATAAAGAACTTAAGATGATTAATAATGGCCACTAATTTCAAAAGGAACTATCTGAGACAGGTAGTATAGTTCAGAATCAGTGTCACTACTTGAACAAGTTATTTAACATCCAACTCTGCTCTGTTAAATGACCTAGTAGGATTGTTTTGAGAATATAATCCTATCTAATAAAGAGGGAATATAAAACAAAAAAAAAAGAAAAAAATAAATAAAGAGGGAATATGCTAATTGCTGCCCCGCCCTCAAAGATGGTGGCACCCATAGCCAATAAGGAGGGAATATGCTAATTGACTGTCCCACCCTCAAAAATGGCGGCGCCCACAGCCACAAGATGGCTGCGCCCAGTCCCCTCAGCCCTGCCGGCACGCCTGCCTCCGGAGTCCCCCAGTCCCCTAAGTCCCCCAGCTGCCCAGGGCCAGCCCAAGGCACAGGTAACCAGGGCTGGCCGAGGCTTGCGCTGCCTGCAGTGGCAGCAGCAGAGGTGTGACAAGGCGTCGCCTTCCCCTGATCGCCGGGTCACCTCCCACCCCTGAGGGCTCCCGGACTGTGAGAGGGGGCAGGCCGGGCTGAGGGACCCCCCCTCCAGTGCATTAATTTTCATCCACCGGGCCTGTAGTGAATAATATAAGCACAGGCCTTAACACTGTATTTAGAACATAAAGATTTTTTTAAATGTTGACATTATTCTCAGTACTGATTTTGAAAACTTTTTTAGTATATTTTTACTAGAGGCCTGGTGCATGACATTCGTTCACTGGAGGTAGGAGGGGGAGTTCCTCAGTCTGGCCTGCAAGGGGAGCGGGCCTAAGCCGGCAGTCGGACATCCCCCAAGGGGTCCTTAGCGCTGCCTCAGAGGCGGGAGAGGCTCCTGCCACTGCCACTGCACTCACCAGCCGTGAGCCTGGCTTCTGGCTGAGTGGCACTCCCCTGTGGGAGCGCACTGACCACCAGAGGGCAGCTCCTGCATTGAGCATCTTCCCCGTGGTGGTCAGTGTGTGTCATAACGACCGGTTCACTATTTGGTCTATTTGCATATTAGGGTTTTATTATATAGGATTGATTTCAGAGAGGAAGGGAGAGGGAGAGAGAGAGAGAAACATCAATGATGAGAATCATTGATCAGCTGCCTCCTGCACACCCCACACCTGGGGCATGCAGGATCCAACCTGCAACCCGGGCATGTGTCCTAACCGGGGATGCCATGACCTCCTGGTTCATAGGTCGAGCTCAACCACTGAGCCGTGCTGGCTGGGCAATCAGTTTTTGTTTTTTTAAAATATATTTTTATTGATTTCAGAGAGGAAGGGAGAGGGAGAGAGAGAAGAACATTAGTGATGGGAGAGAATCATGGATTGGCTGCCTCCTGCATGCCCCTCACTGGGGATCGAGCCCGCAACCCAGGCATGTGCCCTTGACTGGAACTGAACTCGGGACCCTTTAGTCCGCAGGCCAATGCTCTATACACTGAGCCAAACCGGCTAGGGCTGGGCAATCAGTTTTTTAAAAATGCATTCTGCCCTCACCCCTGTCCCCAAATGCAAATGACACTGTAGTCTCATAAACTGAGTACTATCATTAATTTTAAAGCTTTGTTTACTAATTTGATAGATAAAAACACATTTTTGTTATTTTAATTTTCTCAGTTCAGTTGAACATCTTATATAGTAATAACAATATTTATTGCCAATGTTTTCCCAGGTTCTTTCCCAGTGGGCTTTTGTTTGTTTTTGTTTTTGTAGTCACACTGAACAGTCTTATAGGATTTCCACTTTTGTTTAGTTCTTTTATATTTAGAAAGGACTCTTATACAAAAAGAAAAGGAATTAGTCTTGTTTTCCAAGATTGGAGGAAGTGGCATTAATAAAGTATTGTTTGTTATTACCTCTGTGTCAAATGCATTAAGACATGGAAAGCCTATATGATGCTGGCAAAATGGTAAATACAGCATTGTGTACTTGAACTTTTAGCCAAGTATCTGGGTTTTACTTTGTTGTTCTTATGGCTTAGAAGCTTTCTTCTGCATGCTGCTGAGGCTGTTAAAGATAAGCAATAATGGCAGTCACTCTGTGCTGTGTGTTAATATACTATTCCTACATGATAATAATAGTAATAGTAGTCATCATCTCTGCTCTTTTTTTTTTTTTTAATCCTCTCCCAAAGATATTTTTTTTCCCATTGATTTTTAGAGAGAGTGGAAGGGAGGGAAGAGGGAGAGAGAGACATCTAACTGAGAGAGACACATCAATTGGTTGCCTCCCACACATGCCCAACCAGGGCCAGGGATTGAACCTGCAACTGAGGTATGTGCCCTTGCCTCGGAATTGAACGTGAGACCCTTTGGTCATCAAGCCGATGCTCTAACCACTGAGCAATTGGCCAGGGCTCAGCTCCTTCTTATAGAGGACACTGAACTTGCTCAGGGTCACACAGCTACTACTCAGAGGCAGGGAACTTTTTGGCATCTTGTCTCAGATGTAAGGACTTGAAAAACAAAGTTCGTATTTGAGCTTCCTTCATTTCCTTCATTAGCTGATAGTGTAGTAGTTAAGTTGACATTAGGAAGTATCTCCTTAAAGCAGGTTTGTTAGGTTTGTTTGTAAGAATATGGAGAAAGCTTTTTTTAAAAAAATAAATATATTTTATTGATTTTTTACAGAGAGAAAGGGAGAGGGATAGAGAGTTAGAAACATCGATCAGCTGCTTCCTGCACACCCCCTACTGGGGATGTGCCTGCAACCAAGGTACATGCCTTTGACCGGAATCGAACCTGTGACCCTTGAGTCTGCAGGCTGACGCTCTATCCACTGAGCCAAACTGGTTAGGGCTGGAGAAAGCTTTTGTTGCTTGAACGAGAGTTTAGTCTGTACCCTAAATGTTTCATCTCTTCAGTGCATAGAGCTTTGAAGGGATTAGTTTTATAACAAAGGATGCATCTTTAACTTTTTAGGAAACTACAGTTGATGAGTTCAGTACTGAAATGAGCATGGTACAAGGGGGGTTGAAATAAACTATTTTCAGTATTAAGAGCTTTAAAAATTATTGACTTATATTTAGTGTGACCAAACAATTTGTTGACTGTTTTGGTGAACAAGGAAAGAAAAAACACTTAACTGTCTTGGTGTCTGCCAAGAAAATTAAACTGACTTCAAAGCTTTGAGCTGATAGTTAATTGCAATGAGTACAAGCTGTTGTTTTAAATAATACGTCTGGTCAGTCCTTTGGCTCAGTCAGGCTACAGCTGTGAAATTGTAAAATAAGATGCATAAAACCAATGTATTGCAGTGTTCATGCCTCTCTTGAGCAAATATTTCATTTCTCTGACAGAAACTATCACTTTGGGAACTCACTTTTCATTTTGAACTGCACTTGGAATATGTAGTTCTTCCTTCAAATACACCTTTTTGGTGATTTACCATAAGCAAAAGAGAGACCCTGTCAGCATTTTAATTCTAACATGCAGTTTTGAGATTGAATCCCAAGCTGTGAAATTATGTGAACAAATAATCTATATAAATAACATGGAGCCACATATGTAGTGCTTAAAATAAGTCTGATTGCAGCTAAAATGATGTAGGTAGTTAAGAAATTAAGAAAAAATAAAAACTGAAATGACAACCCATGGCAATGATGTTTTTTTACAAATATATATTTTTATTTATTTCAAAGAGGAAAGGAGAGGGAGAGAGAGAGAAACATCAATGATAAGAGGGAATCACTGATAAGCTGCCTCCTGCACACCCCCCACTGGGGATTGAGCTGGGGGCATGTGCCCTGACCAGAATCAAACTGACCTCCTGGTTGATAAGTCCATGCTCAGTCATTGAGCCACATTACCCGGGCATAACTCCTTAGGGTGAATTTCTAGAAGTGAAATTGCTGGATCAAAGAATTCACATTTTTGAGACTTTAAATCTAAATTGCCAAATTCTGGTTCAGATAGGTTGTGGCAATTCACATTACCACCAGTGTTAGACAAGTATGATCATTTCTCCCTATCATGGATAGTAGAAAAATTTTCCTACATCATTGCAAATCTGGTAAATTTTAAAATGGCATCTCTATGTTTTAACTGGCATTAATTATTCATGAAGCTGACCCTATTTTATTTTCACTAGCCATTGTAGATTTTGGTCTCACAAATGAGCAGAGCTCACAATCTTGATTAGATACTTCAGAAATTTTTTTCCATTCATTCATCAATCTTTTCAACAGTTTTCTTTTTTTTTTTTCTTTTCAGGAGCGACTAAAGCTAGTGACTGTTTTGGGTGCCGGCCTTCTCTGTGGAACTGCACTGGCAGTCATCGTGCCTGAAGGAGTACATGCACTTTATGAAGATATTCTTGAGGGTGAGAGAGAGAAAGGCCTTCTTTGAAATATGTTATTGACATGGAGGGTTGAAAGGAGCTTAATGGTATTTCTTCTGAACTCAATTGACATTTGCCATAGAAGTCTACCCTAAAAAGAGTTCTTAAAATATATGTTTTGACATTTTTTACATTGAACACATCCTTAGCAGTGTGTGATTTGAATGCCCCAATTCATGAGTACCACTTAAGATTTATTTGCAATAATGCATGAATTTCAGTCTTTCAAAGTATGACTGACCTTTTTTAATGCCCACTTAAAAACTTCCCAAATCCTACATGATGGGTATTTTTAGTATTCTTTAATTGAAAAACTATGTAGATATACTAGTACACATTTGGATTTAAGGACTCTTTATAGTAAACTTTGTAGATCAAGCATGTCAAACTCAAAGGCTAACACGGGCCAGATAAACAAGGTTTAAGTTTATGTGGGCTGCAAAAAAACAAAAACTTCAATTTTCATAGAAATGTAGGTTTATTTCAATAGAGACATGCTGAACACAAAGGGCTGAAATAAATGAGTAATTGTTAACATAAAATAATAGAACATTTTAATAAAAATTAATATTTTTTCTTGAACATTAACTTACCAGACACTGAATAACTGCACAAATTAATAAGCGTGATGCAAATAAATCAATTTGCATTACGTGGCAATCAGCTGCTAAAATATTCGCTGCTAATATTAGTAGAGAGAAATGGTGCGCCTGTGCGTAAGGCGCATAAGGGAAATGAATGCAACATGATTATAGTAATCAGTCATTAGTGAACATTGTAGTTCATTATTAATTATGTAGAACAGGATATTGTAAAAATTAAGTTACGAAATTTTTATTCAAACGTTTCTTACATACCGTTATATTGGCTAGGCTACAAAAATATTCATTGTGGGCTCCATGTAGCCCGTGGGCTGCGAGTTTGACATGCTTGTAGATAATTGGTGAGGACCCCTGCAGTAAAGAATAAAGAACAACTAAATATCTAAAGAGGACTCTCCTAACACTAATAACAATCAGAGAACAGTATACCTGTGTGAGAACAAATGCTGGACAGTCGTCTTGGTTCACTCACCTGCTAAATAATTTGGTCCTTCACGCCAGCTTGAAAACATAACTTGATTCAAATTTGTGATTCAGCAAAGTCAGACTGCTACTTGTCATGAAACATCACAGATACCTGTAAGGATTAGGAACCACTGCTGTTAAATTGGTGAGCTGAATCTTTTAATGCCAAGAGTCGACTGGACTATTAAGAATAGTATAAAGAGGTATGCACCTTCCAAATTTTTTACTAGATACATTATAACAAATAGTTATTCACATCTCTTATACCTGGGGCATGCATATGGGCAAAATGGTAAAGAGTAAGGATTATAGGGGTCTTATTGTAAAATAAAACAGACTGAGGATTTGTCAGCTTTAGGGGGAGAAAAATAATAAGGAACCTTAGAGCAGTGGTCCTACTCTTTTTTGATCACACATCCTATTGGGGAAAAAGATATATGTGTACTATTCTATTAATATATTGTGTTCATTATAAAACTCATACCTAAAATTATAGAAAAGTTTAAACTAAGATTTAAAGTAAATATGTGTCAAAGTTTTCTTTCATATCCCAGTGGATGAGCTTGAATTTTTCTAAGTATAATTATTCCACTGTAGTGATCAATATCCTGGTATACTAGGAAACATTCAGACCATGACTAAATAGACAATTAAATTTTTTTTCTTGGCTTTGTAGCTAAGAAAGAATTATGGGTTGTTTTCTAAACTTGTCTGATAATAAAATTACCTTGGGGGTGGTGGTGTGTATTTTAAAAATATAGTTTCTTGGCCTCCCCAAAGAAAAGGCCTGGGTATATCTATTTTTAACAAATTGCCAAATAATTCTTATTAGACAAGTTTGGGAAACACTGGGGTAAAGGAAAGAAGTGCTTAAGGTATAAGTTGTTGTTTTTTAATAATAGTTTTATTGAGATATAATTCACATACCATATTTCAGATATAGTTTCAATGTTTATTATGTGTTGGGTTATATCCCTTTATTTCCAGTTTTTCTGATTTTGACTCAGAATATTTTTGTGGATTCATCTGAAAATAGATATTTTATAAACCTACTTTTCTAAAAATAAGTGTTCCTGTCTCTTTAACCTTTCATCACGGATTAGTCTCCAGCTCTAAGCCATCATTTAAAATTTATTTTATTATTTTTATTTACATACTAGAGGCCCGGTGCACAAAAATTTGTGCACTGGTGGGGGAGGAAGGGTGGGGAGTGTCCCTCAGCCCCACTTGTGCCCTCTCACAGTCTGGGACCCCTTGGGAGATAACCACCTGCTGGCTTAGGCCCGCTCCCCAGGTGGCAGATGGCAGGCCCGATCCCTTGGTGCCTGCCCCGCCTCCCCGGGTTGCGCACATGGTAGGGCCAATCCGGGGGTTGGGGCGCCGCCCCGGGTCACGCACACGGCAGGGCCGACCCAGGGGTTGGGGCGCCGCCCCGGGCGGGTCGCACACGGGACGCCTGGGTGGGCTGGCCGATCACTGCTGCCCCCCCCTTCTGCCCCTGGTCAGGTCGAACACGGGACACCCAGGCAGGCCGGCCGATCACTGCTGCTCCGCCCGGCCGCCCCGGGTCGGGTCGCACACGGGACACCTGCCGCCCCGGGTCGCAGATAGCAGGCCCAGATGGCAGCGGGGCAGGCAGGATGGCACTGTCCCGCCCTGCCTGCAGTATGCAAATTAGCTGCCATCTTTGTTGGCGGTTAATTTGCATATTGCGCTGATTAGCCAATGGGAGGCGTAGCAAAGGTATGGTCAATTACCATGTTTGTCTATTATTAGATAGGATATTTACATTCACTCTTTTTGGTGTACACCTCTATGACTTTTGGCAAATGCATAGAGTTGTGTTATTGCCACTGCAATCAAAATACAAAACAGTTCCATCACACACAAAAAACATTCTCTCATGCTGCCCTTTTGTAGTCAAACCTTATTTCTTCTTTGTTCCTATAGTTTTGCCTTTTCCAAATGTTATATATATGGAATCTTGTAGCCTTTGAGTCTGGCTTCTTTCACTTGGCATAGTGCATTTGAGAGTTGTCATATTGTTCTATGTATTAACTAGAGACCCGGTGCATGAATTTGTGCACCAGTGTGGTCCCTTGGCCTGGCCTGTGGGATCGGGCCGAAACCAGCTCTCTGACATCCCCTGAGGGGTCCCGGATTGCAAGAGGGTGCAAGCCAGGCCAAGGGACCCCACCAGTGCACGATCGGGGCCAGGGAGGGACGTGGGAGGTTGGCCAGCCGGGGAGGGACTGTGGGAGGTTCTCCAGGGAGTGTCTGGCCCATCTGGCTCAGTCTCAATCAGCCGGACACCAGCAGCAAGCTAACCTACCGGTCAGAGCATCTGCCCCATGGTGGTCAGTATACGTCATAGCAACTGGCCGACCGGTTGTCTGTTTGCCCCCCTGGTGATCAGTGCATGTCATAGCAAGCGGTTGAGTGGCCTTAGCATATCATTAGCATATTACATTTTGATTGGTTGAATGGATGACTGGACATGTAGCATATTAGGCTTTTATTATATAGGATGGTTTGTACATTTTTATTTCTGAGTAGATTCCATTGTTTGGATGAACCTTAATCTGTTCATTCCTTCACCAGTCAAATGACATATGAGTTATTTCCAGTTTGGGTGATTATGAATAAAGTCACCATAAACATTTTTGTACAGGCCTTTGTGTAAGCATGAGTTTTTATTTCTCTTGTGTAAATAGTTATAAGTGAAATTGCTGGGTACGTGTGTTTAACATCATAAGAAATTGCCAAAATTTTTCCAAAGTGGATGTACCATTTTGCATTGCCATCATTAATGTATGAGTTCCAGTTGGTTCTCTTCCTTGCCAGCTCTTGGTATTGTCTGTTTTGTTTTAGTTTTTTATTCTAGTCATTCTATTAGAAGGGTAGTGGTATCTCAATGTGGTTTTAATTTGCAATTTCCTAATTAAGAATGATGTTGAACATCTTTTCCTGTGCTTCTTTGCCATTGTTATATTTTTTTTGGTGATATCAAATCTTTTGCTCATTTTTAAAAAATTGAATTTTAGCCCTGACTGGTTTGGCTCAGTGGATAGAGCGTCGGCCTGCGGACTCGGGGGTCCCAGGTTCGATTCTGGTCAAGGGCATGTACCTTGGTTGCGGGCACATCCCCAGTGGGGGGCATGCAGGAGGCAGCTGATTGATGTTTCTCTCTCATAGATGTTTCTAGCTCTCTATCCCTCTCCCTTCCTCTCTGTAAAAAATCAATAAAATATATTTAAAAAATAAAAAATTGAATTTTATTATTATTGAGTTTGGAGAGTTATTTATGTATTCTGGATACAAGACCTTTATCAGATGTGTGATCTGCCAGTATTTTCTCCTAGTCTGTGACTTATCTTTCCATCCTCTTAATAGCTTCTTTCACAAAGTAGTTTTAAATTTTGATGAAGTCTAAATTATCAGTTCTTTCTTAAATGAATTGTGCTTTTGGTGTCATATGTAAAAACCTTTGCTGGACTTATTTTTTTCCTAGAAGTTTTATAATTTTAGGTTGTGCATTTAGGTCTATGATCCATTTTGAGTTAATTTTGAATACAAAATGAAGGTTAGTTTTTTACATATGGATAGGTGTCCAATAGTCTTTGTTGAAAAGACTCCTTCCTCTATTAAATTGTCTTTACACCTTTGTCAAAAATCAGTTGACCATATTTGTGTTTGGTCTATTTCTAGACTCTCTATTTTCCCCATTATCTATGTTGTCTGTGCTTTGCTAATACTACCTTGTCTTGAAGACTGTAGCATTATAGCAGATCTTGAAATCAGACAATGGAGTTTTTTAACTTTGTTCTTATTTTTCAAAATTGTTTTGGTTAAACTAGTTCCTTTGCCTTTCTATAGTTTTTTGGAATGAGTTTGTGAATATCTACCAAAAAAATC